CCTCTGGGGAGTCTGCTTCTCCGCCTGGCGCTCGGAGATGACAGGCCTGGGGGCTCGGGACGCTCCGGGGTGTTGTGTTGTGCTGTGGACGTGCGGGCAGCGGGTCAGAGGACTCTTGCTCAGGGGGAGTGCAGTGCCAGGTCCTCCTCTGCCCCCTCCGGAGTTCGATGCCTGTGTACTTGGCAGTGTTTAAACGACACCCCCGCCCCGCCCCGCCCCCGACCTCAGGATATACTGGAAGGAAAATCTGCACCGGGTCACGGGGTCCAGGACCGGCCAGTATATGTGTGCAGATAGTCCACTTCCGGCCCTCCCTGTGCCTGCCTGGGGCCAGCTGCAGATCCCTTGGGTGCTCAGTGGCGGTGGAGGGGGGAGAGGACAGGGACCAGTTAGCCTGTATCCTTCAGAAACGTCCGCTTGGGGCTGATTTTTTTGCCTCGGGAAAGACGTGGACACAGGAAAATCAGTTGAAGATGTGGCTGGCCAGGTGGGATTTCCTGACCCACTCACCTGCTAAGCCTCAAAATCTGTGGGTGACAAGAGTAGGCCCAAATGCAGTTTCTACACATGTAGCATACAGTTTCCTGTATGTACCCTTTGTTAATCCCCTGCCCAACCGGCCTGCTTGGGAAATGCCTCTGGCCCCCACTCTCTGTGCCTGGACCCCAGGGCCCTGTCTGGGGCTAAGGGGCAGGGTGCCACTCATGACACAAACCCACGTCCAGTGAGCGGGTGGTGGCCGTGGCTTGATGACGAGGAGCAGGCTCCGGAGCATGCCTGTGGCTTAGTTTCTTCCCCTGATGATGGTTGTTCTTTGGGCGGTTGGTGCAGAGATGAAATAAGCTGGAATGCTCCCGTTGGCTTCCGAGGGGCAGAGCCAGCAGGGTTGCCTTGCTCCCCTGAACAGGCAACACCTGTCAGGCCAGCCCAGTGCCCTGCCTGACCACTGAGTGTGGGGGAAGAGTTTAGGAAGGAAGACGCTAGGTTCCTCAAATTGCTAGGCAGATGGTGGGGACAAGGGGGTTGGAGGTTGACTTTCTGTTCTCGGTAGGCCGGAGGCAGAGGTCTGGGGTTAGCATGTTTGGGAGTCTGAAAGTGAATGTGGTGGTATGTAAGAACATGTGTCTCTCAGGCCTGGGGCTCCCTCCTTGGGGGCAGGGGTAGGGGACAGTCAGCTGGCCTCTGGGGAAGAGCCCAGACTTTGCTATCAGCCTTACTTCCCTTTTCAGTTCTCCCCCAGGCCTGGCAGGGCGGGTGGCCACAGGCACACCCACTGGGAAGGAGGCACCCACAGGGGCCGCTACAGAGGGGAACCTCCCACCCAGGTGGCCCCTGTCCCCACAGATCAAACCCACGAAAAGTACACATCCCCTGATGGTCACGTGTGTGTGTGTGTCTCTACACTTGCACCCGCAGAGACTCTGGTTTGAGGCCACATTGGGGACGTAGATTCACACCTATTCTTTGTTTTAGTTTAAGTATTTGGCAATTTTTTCCCCCGGCAGTTTTATTCGCAAGTATAATTCAATCATTCGATCATATCACGGAGAATTGTACAATCACCCCCACATCAATTTTAAAACATTCCCCTCCCCCATGGTCAAATCACCTGTAAGATGATGCATGCAGTCACAGGTCTGTTCTAGTGCATCCTCCCCCTCCCTATTCGAATGTCAGTGTTCCTGCTAAAGGGAACACACACCCGTGGTGCATGTGACACATGGGGACACGCAGAAGCAGGATGTCCGGCTCCACATCTTGCTTCCTAGCTAAACCAAGGGGAATGGGGCCTTGGTGGCGCCTTAGTAAAAGTGCTGGGCTGCTAAGCAGTTGGCACCCCGCCAGCCTCTCTGAGGAGAGGAAGTGGCAGCGTGCTTCCGTACAGCCTTGGAAACCCTTCGGGGAATTTGTCAGCAATTGGGGTTGATGTGATGGCAGTGGGTTTGAATTTTAGACTGGAAGTTGTTGGGGAGGCTCAGGTGGGTCTGGGCACCTGGGTGAGTGGGTGGTCTGGGAGCCAAGAGCAGCATGGGTTGGGGCCAACTGCCAAGTGTTCTTTGATACTTTGTAGGTCAGCCATGTGGACCCTGGTGAGCTGGGTGGCATTGGTGGCAGGGTTGGTGGCTGGCAGGCAGTGCCCAGATGGCCAGATCTGCCCTGTGGCCTGCTGCCTGGACCCTGGAGGAGCGAGCTACAGCTGCTGCAGCCCCATGATGGTGAGCACCTCTCCTCCGCCCAGGCGGCCCAGGAGCCTGACTTGCCCAGATGGCCTCCCTGGCTTGGGCCCTTGGCCTCATCCTCACCCCTCTCTTCCCAGGACCAATGGCCCTCTCTGCCCACAGTAAGGAGCAGGCAGCTGGGCATTCCCTGCCAGGCCGATGCTCACTGCTCTGCTGGCGCCTCCTGCCTCCTCACAGTCTTAGGAACCTCCCGCTGCTGCCCGTTACCAGAGGTGAGGGCGCCAGGGGCTCAGGGGGCGGGCACATGCCCGCACCTATGCTGGCCTGGACTTTCCCACTCAGGAGAAGGGGCCTGGCCAACACAGGCATCTCTGCATCCCACAGGCAGTGTCTTGCGGAGACGGGCATCACTGTTGCCCCCGGGGCTTCCACTGCCATGCGAACGGACGGTCCTGCTTCCGCAGACCAGGTGCGCTGGGACTGGAAGCACTCAGGATTCCCACTCTGGCGCCTTCACTCACCTGGTTTCTTTACAGAGGGCTGGGAGGGTGGGGGCCAGGACTCTAGGTTGCTAGTCCTGGTTGGGGCAGGGCCTGGCCTGTGAGGGGCAGTGCTGAGAGGTCACTGAGCCCTAGTACCAGTGGTTCAGTACCCTGGTAGCTGATCTCCAGGCCCTGATGTCCCCAGCTCCTTGCCTGATGGGTGAGTCACTTTGCTCTCCACAGATGCCAACCCCTTGGGTGCGGTCCAGTGCCCTGATAGCCAGTTTGAATGCCCCAACTCCTCCACGTGTTGCACTATGCGAGATGGCTCGTGGGGCTGCTGCCCTATGCCCCAGGTATGACTCGGGACAATGGGGGCAGAGGGAAGGATCGAGAGGGCAAAGATGAATCTGGACTGGCTCTTCGCAGGCCTCCTGCTGTGAAGACAAGATGCACTGCTGTCCCCACGGGGCCTCCTGTGACCTGGCGCAGGCCCGCTGCCTCCTGCCCACAGGCGGCACCTATTCCCTGGCCAAGAAGACTCCGGCACGCAGGACTGATGGGATAGGTAAGGGGGTGGGATACAGGAGCCCTAGTGCTGTCGCGGTGAAGTGCATCAGCTCTTCAGACCCACCAGCCACTCCTGGCGGCCTGGCGGGGTGGTGATGGCAACAAGCCTGCTGGCAATCTGCCAAGAGCCTGGGACTTGGTCCAAGCAAGGTTTCATCCAACAGTTATGGGGGGTGGGGGTGGGGGTGGGGGGGCACGGGGTAGAGGGTCCTAGGAAGAATCACTACATGCAGCTTGGAATCACTGTGGGTAGTTCTACTCTGTACGCTGAGTCAGAACTGACTTGGGAAACCAGCAGAGCAGAGTGTCAGGTTGGGGATTGTTTGGGGAGGCCTCTTCTGGCCCCATCTGGATCAGTTCTCCTTCACTGCCCCTCCCCTCTCCACTTCCAGTGGCTCTGCCCCGAGCTGTCATGTGTCCTGATGGGCAGTCCCAGTGCCCTGACGGTTCTACCTGCTGCAAGATGCCCAGTGGGGAGTATGGCTGCTGTCCAATGCCCAATGTGAGTGAGGGGCACAGCTACCTGGCATTGCAGGCTTGGGGAGTTGGGGGGTGGGAAGAGGGGGTGGCTCCGTGCAGGGTGGCCCAATAGGTGCTTGCCCTTGACTCAGGGCTCATGCCACCCCCTAGTGGGGGGTTGGGGTAGTGCCCATTGCCAAGTTGGCTGGTCTTGGACCCACCTGAGACCAACCGCTAGTCCCAAGACCCTCTCTTGTCTCATCAACCCCAGGCTGTCTGCTGCTCCGACCATGTGCACTGCTGCCCCCAGGACACTGTATGTGACCTCATCCAGAATAAGTGCCTCCCTGGGGAGAATGTCACGGGCCTCCTCACCAAGCTGCCCGCACACACAGGTCTGGAGGCAGGCCACAGAGCCAGCCCTCTGCCCCCAGAGGAAACCCCACCTGGCTACCCCAAGAAGCCATGTGGGTGGCGGGGCGGGTGCAAGCCTTTTCCCCATATGGATGGCCCTTGCTGTTTAGGCACTGTGGGCAGTGCCCTCTGCTCGTCAGCTATAGAGCCAGTCAAGGACTGGCCGATGCAGACCCCCAGTGCCATGCTGACCCCCACCCCCGCCCCACAGTGCAGGAGGTGAAGTGTGACAAAGAGATGAGCTGCCCCGATGGTTACACCTGTTGCCGCCTGTCGACGGGAAGCTGGGGTTGCTGCCCGTTTGCCCAGGTACCCAGGAGTGGGGAGCTGGCCTGCAGAGGGTACAGCCAACTAGGTCTCTGTGCCCACCATCTCCCTCCACCCTCCGCTCTCCCCTAGGCTGTGTGCTGTGAGGACCACATGCACTGCTGCCCGGAAGGCTTTAGATGTGACACACAGAAGGGGATCTGTGAGCAGGGGAGCCACCAGGTGCCCTGGAGGAAGAAGGGCCCCGCCCACCTCAGCCGGCCAGACCCCCAAGCCATGGAGAGTGATGTCCCTTGTGACAACGTCACCAGCTGCCCCCCCTTCAACACCTGCTGCCGACTCCTGTCTGGGAAGTGGGGCTGCTGTCCTGCCCCTGAGGTGTGCGGGCAGGGGGGCGGCACAGGGGGCAGTGACCTGGCCTGGGCATGTGGCCAGGCTGGTTCTTGGCCCTGTGGAGCCCAAGGGTGTGGTGCCAGCTCAGCCAGATTCCTTTCTGGCTAGAGGAAGGGTGGACTCGGCACCTCTGCCCACATCCCAGCGCCCTGGACAGCCCTGCTTCTGCTCACCCTCCATCCAGGCCGTCTGCTGCTCGGACCACCAGCACTGCTGTCCCCACGGCTACACATGCACAGGCGAGGGGCAATGTCAGGATGGGGACAGGATAGTGGCCGCACTGAAGAAGGAGCCCGCTCGCCCAGCCTCCCTGCCCCACCTCACAGACACCAGCTGTGACCAGCACACCAGCTGCCCGGTGGGCCAGACATGCTGCCCGAGGCTGAGCAAAGGCTGGGCATGCTGCCAGCTGCCCCACGTGAGTGCTGCTGCCTGCCCCTGGGTAGGAAGCTCAACGCTGGGGCACGGGAAGTTCATTGCTGCCATGTCCCCCACCTCTCCAGGCCGTGTGCTGTGAGGATCGGCAACACTGCTGCCCGGCTGGGTACACCTGTAACGTGAAGGCCCGCACCTGTGAGAAGGAGGTAGCGGCAGGCCAGCCCTCCTCCCTCCTGATCCACAGTCCTCCTGTGGCCTTGGGGGATGTGGCCTGTGGGGAAAGCCACTTCTGCCACGATAACCAGACCTGCTGCCGAGACAGCCTTGGGGGCTGGGCCTGCTGCCCCTACCGCCAGGTCAGTGCCACCTCCATCTCTACCCACCCTGGGGCCGGGGACCAGGCCAGGTCCTCCCTTGTCTGACTCCCCCCCTCCCCCACTGTAACCCCCACAGGGCATCTGTTGTGCAGATAAACAGCACTGTTGCCCCGCTGGCTTCCGCTGTGGGGCCAGGAGCACCAAGTGTTTGCCCAGGGAGGCCCTTCCCTGGGCCATCCGTGAGAGGGACCCAGCCCAGAGACAGCTGCTCTGAAGAGGGACGGAAGACTGAGAATACTTCACAGCCCTGGGGAGAGACCCTGCTTCTCGGGGTGCCCGTTGCTCAGGCCTTCCCACCAAATCCCTCTGCCCTTCCCATCAGTGGAGGCGATGGGCCCTCAACCTAAGGCCTTCCCATCTGAAAGGGGGGCAAAAACCCCGTTCAAAGCTGCCGCCCTCCCCCTGACTGCTGTAGGCCCTGTGGCCAGGTGCTCTGTCCTATCCACAGGTAGGTGGGTGGGTGTGTGCGCATGCGCACGCTCTCTAATAAAGTTTTTACACTTTCCCAAGTGTGTTTGCCTTACCATCACCCCTCCCCGCTCCCTACACACAGAAAGGCCAACCCTGAGTTCTTCTCACCAGTTTAATTTTCTGTTGTCCACAGCGGCCCCATCACATTCCCTTGAGTCCCCAGAGCTGCCCCACCACCACCAGCAGCCTGCCACTCTGCAGCCCAGGGGTGGGCTAGTCAGCAAGCAGCACCCCGCCCCTCCCAGGGGTCCCGCAGGGGGTGCCCCCTCCCCAGCGCTCACACTAGCGGCTGGGTCCCGGTTGCCCCTCCAACTTTCCCACCGCACCCCCCACCCCATCCCTCCCAGTATTTCCCCTGGGGGTCTGGGCCCCTCCCACCTCCCTCTGCCTGGGTGCCCGCGGGGGTCCCGCCCAGACTTTAGCCAGCGCGTCTCATTGGAGAGCTCCGCAGTGCCGTTTTCCGGGCGGGGAGGACTGGGGCTAAGAGCCTGGTACCACCCCCACAACACACCAGGCTGCACGCCCTGGGGTCGCGGGGTGCGACCCCAGAAGTGGTGTCGGCAGGGTGCTATTTGACATTGAACACCATCAGTGGGCGCTCCTCCCTACGCTGCCACGGGCTCTTCTTGTCACCGGCCTCGTCGCCCACCTCGGCCCCCAGCTCATCCTCCGGGCTGGTGAGAGAGTCGCGGCGCAGCTCGCTGGCGCTGCTGCGTGAACTGTCCCCACGGCTGCGGCCCCGCCCTCGGGGCACCGTGGCCGCCCGGCCCTCGGGCGCGGCCACCTCGTCCAGCAGCGGCGTCAGCGAGTTGTCTTCCGGGGAGCAGAGGCCCGTGCGGCTCTCGCTGCTGCTGGGCTCAGTGTCCTCGCTGAGCGCCAGGCGTGGGGGCGCTGGCGGCGGCGGTGGGATGCGCTCCTCCCTGGGGGGCCGGCGGCGCGCGGGCCGCGCCTCGTGCACGTCCACCCCGGAGTCCAGGCTGGCGTCGGTGCTCCGGCCCCCGCCACCCGCCTGCAGGTCGATGTAGGAGTGGCGCACCTGGGAGTTGGAGCGCCCGTCGAGGGACACAAACCAGGCGCGCGGGTGGGGCTTCACGCCCAGTTCCAGCAGCTTCTTTTCGGTCAGCGCCTGTAGCTCCCCGTTGAGCTGCGCCATGGTGGACTCATTGAGCAGCACGGGGATGGTGACCGAGCCGCTCACGGGCGCAGAGCGCCCCCCGCCCCAGCCCTCGCCGCCCCCGCCGCCCTCGCCCCCCGCGCCTGGGTGGCCCTGCATCAGCGGGCGCTGGGGGTCAGCCTGGGGGAAAGGGCGCGGAGGGCCCGGGATCGGGCCCTCCAGAGGGGTGGGTTCGTCGCCCCCGCCAGGGGCGCCCCCCTCGCCTCCGAGGCGCACGTAGTGCGCGGGGATCACCAGGGTGGGCATGACGTTGCGGTAGACGCTGTCCTTGAGGTGGTCGATGGAGCCGCAGAAGATGAGCTGCCCCGCCTGGCTGAGCGAGGGCGGCCGCGCCAGCTGGTCCACCGACTGCGACAGCAGGAAGTCGGGGGTCTTGCTCTCGGCGGTCCCCTTGTGGCCCAGGTAGTGGTCGAAGGGCGGCGGCGGCGGCGAGGACGGTTCGTGCAGGAAGGCCGCGGCCCCCGGGGGCCCCCGCCGGTACTCCTCCAGGCCGGGCTCCAACCCCCCGGGGCCCTCCAGGGAGCGGGCGCCCTTGAGCCCTGCACCCTCGCCCCCGCGGGCACCCGAAGGCTCGGCAGCCGGGCGGCTGCTAGGGCGCGGCTTGGCACGGAAGAAGTCGTCCCTGGAGGCGGCCAGGTCCCGGGAGCTGGAGAAGGCCGAGTGCAATGGCCCTGGCGGCGGAGCCTCGGGGTCCCCCGACGAAGGGGGCTCCAGGGGCCCCCCACAGATGAGGTGGAGCTGGGACATGGAGGTGGCCTGGTCTCGTTTGTTGCCGTCGGAGGGCCCGGTGAGCTGCAGCTTGCGATGCTGCTGCCTGGGCTTCAAGCAGCGCCTCCTGGAGAAGGAGGAGAGAAGTTCAGCCCTGCTCTTACAGGCGAGGAGGTGCGATGGGGTGCTCCCACCGGTCTGGGGTGGGTTGTCCAGAGGACTAGGGTGGCTTTACCCCGCTGGGACTTCTCAGAGCCCTAGTGGCACTGTGGATGAGGCAAGTGGGCTCGTTCAGACCCACCCGTCTCTCATGGGAGAAAGCCGAAGCTGTCTGCTCCTATCGCTTTTAGTGTGGGGTCTGGGAGCTCCTTGGAGTCGATGACAGCAGGTTAAGAAACCCGACAGCTCAATGACTTAGCACTGGGTCGCCAACAGAAAGGTGGGCAGTTGGAACCCCCCAGCCGCTCCATGTGAAAAACGTGGCACTCTGCTTCCATGAAGATTCCAGCCTGGGAACCCCAACCCCACTCTGCCGTCTAAGTTGGAGTCACTGCGATGGCACACTTGGGGTAAAAGGTGCTGCCCTGCTCACAGGAGGCTCTGGGAGACCCTGACAAGACTGTCTAAGCTGGCTGTGGGGGGTTAATTCTGGCCTGGGGGTCCTGGGAGAGCTAGGCTAATAGGAACAGCAATGGATTGTCTCATGGGGGTCCTGCTGTCCCCACACCCCTTTCTCTCAGGTCACCAGTACTTGCACCTGGGTTTCCCGTCAGCGCAGTAAGGCTATCATGATGCACCCTAAGGGGTCTAGGCCTCAGGATGACACTGGATGTGAGGGGGCAGAGGCAGGGCTCAGGGTGGCAGTGCACTCACCGGCAGTAGTAGATGAGCAGACAGAGCAGGGTGAGCACCAGCAAGGCCAAGGCCGCCAGAATGGTGAGCAGGAAGATGGTGTGGTAGGTGCCAATGTCCTGGATGCCAGAGGTGATGGTGACCAGCCCTGTGCCGGGCAAAGGCTTAGTGTGCCAGGTGTGGGTGCCCTTCTGCCCTCAGGAGTCCACAACCACACCTTCCCCCACTGCCCCCCACTCTCACCGGCCACGGGGGAGGCCATGGCGGCCGCCCAGTACCCCAGCTGGGAGGAGACGAAGGTCCAGTAGAGCTGCCGGCCTTCTTTGCGGATCACCCCCGTCCCGTTGCGGACCCACAGCCCTGGGAGAGGCAGGGGTTCGTCTCACTCGCTGTCTCCTCACCGAAGCCCCACTTCCCTTCTCCATATCCCAGCCTCGGGCCCCTGTGACACTCACCACTCCTGGGATCAAACCTCCAGGCAGGAATGCTGGTGCCCACGGCAAGGGCACGAGGTTCTGAGGGCACGGGCAGGGACAGGTGAATCGGGACTGAGAGGGGCACCTCGGTCCCATTGCCTGTCAGCAGGTGCACGCTCACGGCAGCCAGGGGCATCAGCTCCAGCCAGGAGCCATTGCCTGGAGGCAGAGGACACAAGGGCTGAAGGCTAAGTCCTTGGAGGGGGGAACCTTGCCCCGTCCAGCACCTAGCAAACCTACCTGAGCTGGGGGCCTCAGTGCCCAAGAAGGCTGGGAAAGCCCTCATTTCCTGCTGAGTGCTGGCAGGTGTGAGAGACGCCCAGAGCTGGCTATAGGTAGAGCTGATAGGCAGGCAGGCCGGCCGGCACTGGAACTGCACCCATGGCTGGGAGCGCGTACCTAGACAGAGAGAGGTGCTGCCGTGACCTGGGGACAAGGTGACCCCGTGACCAGTGCAGGGAAGGTGGTGACTTTGGGAGACAGCTGGGTCTCAGAGAACACTAACGTGGAAGGGACATGAACGTGAAACCCAGGCCTGGCTGCGTGACCCGGAGCAAGTTACCGGCTTTCGCTGCAATGCTGTCTCCTTATGAACCCATACAATTAGGAGGTCTGGGCCCTTAATTATGATCGCCTACTGTGTGGCACACACCATGTCGGGTGCTGGGGGTATACAGACGAATCAGACACAATTCTCTGTCTTCAAGGTCTCTGGCCAGGGCAGCGCTGTCTGTCTGCCGCAATACTCACTAGAACGTTCTGCTGGAATGGAGATGTTTTAGCTCTCTGCTGTCCACTCTGATACCCTCTGGACACAAGTGGCCATGACGCACTTGAAACGTAGCCAGTGTGTCTAAGGAGCGGGATTTTTTTGTGATTAAGGCATTTTTAAAACTAAAGTCATCATTCATGTAAAGTATGTGCCTCGTGAGTCCTGCATTAGATGACCTAATATTGTGCGTGTGTGTGTTTGTGTGTGTGTGTGTATTGAGGTGAAACCAGACATCTAACGACATTCTAATGCGATGTGCTAGCAGTGGTGTTCAGTGGAGTGGAGTCCAGTCTAACTCCCCTCCACAGAAAGAGCCACCGCCCAGCCCTGCCCGTCCTCACGACCGTGCATTTGATGGAGCTCCAGGTTGCAGCCCACCCGCCGCTCACAGTTCCTCGGCCTTAGGCACTATGCCAGGCAGGGGATCTAGATGAACCCCTTCCATCAGTACAGCAACCTCTGCAGCAGCTGCCTGAGGCAGACATTGAGGCAGAAGTTGACTAACCTGCTCCTTCATCAAGCCCCGGCCGCCTGCACCAGCACTCGCACACTCACCCAGTACGCCCTCCTGCCCTGCCATTAAGATGGCGGGAGGTGGGGGGCAGCCTGTGGGGTCTTGAAGGATGCTGCTAGGGCAGGAAGGAAAGAAACCAGTGGGAGGGGCCTGAGAAGCTGGGGATTGTGGGGGTCCCAGGGTCCCAGCGTGCAGCCAGCTCTTTGGAGCCATGGGGGAGAGCTTAAGTTAAGGGTCAACAAAAGCAGCGCTGGTTTAGCATGCAGGAAAACCTTCAAGGCGTCTTCTAAATCTTCCCTGTTCCTCGAGATCAGAGAGCTGAAGGTGAACTGGCAGGAGTAAGTTGATGACCCATAGACTTGAGTTGGGCTGGGTGGGACACCTTCTTGATATAAAGTTCTTTCTTATACATTAAAAAAAAAAAAAAAGGTAACTTGGGGACAAGAGCTCAAGCTGAGAATAAAAATGTGGGAGAGAGTTCCCCTCCTTCCAGAGCCTACTGTGGCTCCCAAGTGCTACAGATGGTGCCCTTCCTCTGCTCGGCTCCTCCTTCAGCTGCAGCAGGCACTCTGTCCTCCCGACTTCTCCCAGGCTCCCGCTGCACCTCCAGGACTCCCTCTAGGCCTTCCTCTCCAATGAGGGGGGTGTCTTTGCTGTCCCCCCCAAAGGCCTACCTAGGCCCACAGTTCCCTCCTCTCAATTATCGAGTGCACTAGGCTCCCAGGCCAGGGTTATCCATTTTGAATGATTGTATCTGCCCCCAGCCCTCCCCTTTCTGTAGGATTTCAGGTTTGTGATGCTGTGTCTGCCTTCAAAGGAAACAGGCTCCTGTCACTTCCCATCCTCCCTCAGCACCCTCCACAATGCCTGGCCCAGCAGAGGGGCTGCATGAAAAAGTCGTCAAGAAAATCGGAAAGCCCATGGGTGGACAAGGATCACTGTGGAATCACCCCTGGCCTTGCACCTGGTAGATGCTCGGTACCTGTGGAATGACCCTGCATGGCCTTCTAACGGCTAGGCACCCAGTAGGTGTGCAACTGAAGAGAAAGATGGCAGGGAGTTGGTTTCTAAAGAAGGAAAGGGGAGACTAGAGGCCCTAAGAAGCGAAGCCCCAGTAACAGTCAACAAGTATTGAGCACCTACTGTGCGAAGGTCTTAAGTAGCACTTAGCACAATTAAATTACTAAAGCAGGATTTCTTCTTACAAATGAACAGACAATGGCTCAGAGAGGTTAAATAACTTGTCCAAGGTTACCCAGTGAATGGAAGGAAGAAGCTCATGTTCTACCCCCAGGGCAGGGGAAAGGGAGCGGGGTTAGGTGGGGTGGAGGGAAGCCTCACCCGGAGAGCCCAGGAGGATGTGCACCAGGTCCTCATAGAGGATGAGTGTGGCCGGCCGCTCAGGAAGCAGGTAGAGGCTGACGGATGCATACACTGTAGGAGGGGCAGCCAGTCAGCTGCAGAGAAGCTGCCGCCCCCCAGGCTGGATCCTGCTGGCCCCTGAGCTCCCGGCTTCATCCTCCGCCAAAGCCCTCTCTGAATGCCCAGCCCAGGCAGGAGCAGCTGCTGGGAAGCATGTCTGGCTCCCCCCACTCCCCCCACCCCCCCAACTATTTTGGGAAGGGGCTGTCCGAGGGTCAGCTGCTGCCCCCTCCTTCCCCACCTGCCTCTGCACTTACGGGGCAGCTTGTCAACACGCCAGGGCACTGAGTTGGTGAGGAAGCCAGGGCGGGCAGCAGTGACCAACACCCAAGTGCCCAGGCGGTAACTGAGGAGCAGTGTGGCCACGCCGTCAGAGTCTGTGGTGCCAGCAGCCAACAGGGTCCGATTTCCAAACACATCCACTGAGGCCCGGGCCAGAGGCACCAGCTCCCCGCTCACATACACCTGCACCTTGATCAGGAGCTCTGTGGGCAGGGCGGGGACAGGGAGGGGGGAGAAGGTATCACTATATATAATCACTTATGGGGGGGGCACCTTGGTCTGTGATGCGCTTCCTCCCATCTTACCACTTCTGAACTCAGGTGTTGCTGACAGTCAGTGATACCATAAGTATAACTGGCAGCATTTATTTCATACTGGTCCACGAAGTATGGGTACAGCTACACTCAGTCGTGTCCTGGATTTGATCAAGCATACTCTAGGCCCATTTTAAAGACAAAGAAACCGAGGCTCACAGAGTTTAGATGCTTGCAGGCCAGGCGCTACAACCACGTGGCAACTCTGAGCATTCTGCCCACGCTCTTGGCCACTGAACCCTACCCGAGGTGTCAGGGGAAAGGGCAGAGAGGGAGGGCTGAGCAAGGAGGGACAAGTGGAGAGCCCGGATGTACAGGTGGAGGGGTGGCTCAAGACTGTCCTTCCTTCAGAAAGGAGGATGTTGGGCTGGCTAAGAGCTGTGGTCCTCAGACAAAAATTCAGAAGGGGACGCTGGAGAATTGGCCATGCTTGTCATTCACCATCTTCCCAGAATCCTTTGCACAGCCTGTTTCCCTTCAGATTTTGGGACCCACATCGAAGGCCAAATAAGTACCTCCTGACCCCTCCCCCTCACATGTGTCGCCTGCCCGTCCCAGCTGGTCAGCCAGTGGATCACCACAGCAACACCCTCATTCCTCCCAGGATATGGGCAGAGAGCTGGGGTCCTGGCAAGAGGAAGGGGAGGGGAGGAGGCTGACCCAGGCCCAGGAAAACTGGCAGAGGCCATTAAGAGGGTCCTGGGTCACCTCTGCCCTGAAGTCCAGTCCAGCTGGGCCTGCAGGGAGGGTTCTGAGTCCCAATGAGTGAGCCAGGCCTTAAACTGTATTCCCAGACAGCCCCACTGAGCTGACTCAGCACTGTCTGACCCTCCCCAGGGGCAGGGCCCCGCCTATTAGGGCTCAGCCCACCTGTTGCTAACCATGCGTGTAGGTGTGCTGCTTGGGAAGGGGCCTAGGAGGCAGAGTTAGCTAGCCAAGTCCAGCACTGAAGCCTGCGTAGGAATCAGAGGGTCACAGGGACTTGGGGAAGGCTGGGTGGGGCTGACACTCCACATGACATCCACCCCCAGGGCCAGCACCACGCCTGTCCCTGGCATCCCATCCAGCTGTCAGCCTAAGCTGAGTCCCTCCCGCCCCAGGAGATTGAGTGGACACACAGTCCCAACCTACTCCCACTGAGTGGTCCTCCCCAAAGCTGGCAGTCCCCCTCCCCTTCCAGCACTATCCAAAAGGAATTCTGAGAAGCTGGAAGGGCTGGGCTACTCACTACACACACACACACACACACACACACACACAGCAGCTGGACTGAGCAGCTGAGAGGAGGGACCTGGGAGTTGGGCACATGGTCATTTGAGGGAGGGTCTTAGGTTCTAGGGCCAGAGCTTCAGAGGAGGAGAGGGGGCTTTGGGGACAAAACTGGGTGGGCAAGTAAGGCCTGAAGGGGGCATCAGTGACAAGCTGGGGTGGTGGGGGTAGGTGGGGCAGTGCCTGGCAGATTCCCTCCCCTTCCCTCCCAACCTGGGCTCCCAGCCAGGGGACTAGGAGAGCCCCCAAGCCTGGCTCCATTCCAGCCAATTGCCTGGGTCCCCTCCCCTGGGGTGCAGGGGTCTAAGGGAGAGGTTTCCTGAGAGACCAGGACCTCCTCCTACCTCACAGAGCCAATTCCCGGCCTCCCCCCAGGGAGCAGGGGAGACTGAGGCCCATAGAGATCCTTCCTGATCCCTCAGCCTGACGCTGCAGTGTCAGCTCTCTGGCCTTCAAGTTGGCCTCATTCCAGGAGGAAATCCGACCCCCTCCCTCCATCCGGACCCAACTTCCCTCATCCTGACGCCCCCACCCTGTTTTTCCTACTAGCTCCTTGGTGGGGGTGGGGACGATGAAGAGCAGGGGTGGGGGAGGGGAGGGCTGCCTTTGGGGTGGGGGTGCAGGGCTGGGATGAGCAGAGGCCGCTGAGACCCCCACCATGGCCTTTCCTTCCTGCTCTCCCTGTAGCAGGCGGGCGCCCCCCACCCCTCACACACCCACCTGGGCCCCTTGAGACCCTGGGAGGTCTTCACTGAGAAGAAGTGACATGAAAGGGGAGTGAGGGGCATGGGCTGGGACAGGAGTGACCAAAGGCCTGCCGGGCGAGGACCCAGGCACCTGCCCTCCCAGCTGGCCCTGCCCACAGCCAACCAACCAGCTCAGCATGGCTTTGCGACCCTGCCATGCGCCGTGAGCTGAGGATCACAATGTAACCCCTTTTCCTGAGCTCCCACCCCCACCAGAGCCCCATCTCCATCAAGATC